AAACATGAATGAATTTATCTGTATTGTGCAACACCCTTAGCTTTATATCAGCCTTCCACAGAAGCCATAATTTTTCTAAACCAGAAGAATTATTTACCACTTTGGGCTCCCACCCAGGAAACCTTTTATTTATCAAATCCTCAGCCCTATTTACCCTAACCTGAGGCTCTAGTATAGCTATAATATCTATATTGTGTTTTTTTACCAGCTGCCAAACATCCCTATTCTTGTTAGGGTCATTAAAACCCCAGACATTCCATGAAAGGATCTTCATCGTTTCTTTCATGCCCTCCCCCCTTTCCTAGGGAGGATAGGAGCAAAAACATGAGGGGTATGAGGTTTCTTCTTTGAGCTTCCCACTGTAATCCACGGGTTAGGTTCTTTCTCCTTAGCAACTGAAGTAGCCTGAGAAGGCCACCTCCTAGAACTGGTGGACTCCCCTCAATAGACTTCAGTGAAATTGAGCTAGGACTCCCGGCTTGGACTAATAATCCTAGCACCACTTCCACAAAACTTACAGTTGCACTCGCATTTGATGGGGGAGCATGAGCATGAGAATGAGTCTCTCTCTAAAAACCTCTTTCTCTAAAAAAACTCTCGTTCTCGCGATGGCAGCCTCATCGTCAGAGTCTACTTCGACGACGGGCAATACTTCCGGGGGCAGTACTTGGCCGAAGAATCGGATGAAGTTTCATCCTCCGTAGCGCATCAATGATGGATTTTGGATCCCTAGAGAGGTGAAGAAAAAGGGGGAAGAGCGCTGGCGTGATTGTCTCATCGATCAGTTCGTTGGTGCTCAATCCAAGGTGGCACAGCTTCAGACCTGGGATACTGCTATCTGGGGTAGGGATGGTTTTGTGCGCGTTTCACGATTCGGTCTTAGGCTGTTTGTGTTTCAATTTCCCTCTTCATCTACCAGTAAATGGTATTCAACTCGGGTCCCTGGCATTTTCAAGGGAATCAACTCTATCCGAGGAAGTGGGTGCCGGGGATAAAGCCGGTGGTTCCTAAGGTGGAGTCGCTTCCCATCTGGGTTAATATCTGGGGGACCCGCTGGAATATCTCTCCTTGAAAGGTTTGGAGCGGGTGGCGAGCACTCTAGGGCCTCCACTCTGGATGGATAAGACTACAAGAGTGGGTGGTCAGCTGGGTTTCACGAAGGTGTGTGTTGATCTCCTAGCGGAGTGTGGCTTTCCTTCCCAAGTTAGACTCTATCTGGATGATGATCCAGCATTTGATGTGGAAATTGAATACCTAAATTTACCTAGGGTTTGCAATTTATGTTTTGTGTATGGTCATGATTGTTCTGCAATGGCTAAGAGTAAAAAAGAAGTGGGTTGTTAAAGTGAAGTCAACACCTAAAGTGTCTAGTGATTCAGAATATAACTTTTTGATAAATTTTGTGGGCGATAAATAGTAATGTCTTGGGCGGTAAATAACAACTCCCATTGTAAAATGTAACTTCCTCTACAACTGAAGGGAGGACTTCATGGTTTTTTTGGACCAATATACATAGGCTTGGCCTAATTTACTTCTCATTCAAGCCCATTAAAATGAAATGACATTGTTTTCATCTGCACTCACCTTGATGCTCGCAAATCTACAAATCATGGAAGTAAATCATTTTGGGTTAGGATGAAATTCATATCATTTTAATTTATGTATTTTGTTGTGTGGTATAACTTAGAGTTAAGAACCGAAATTTGATTCCATAATCATTACTTTTTTTAATAATAGTGATGAGATGAACCACTTCTTCCCGTGAGAGTGAAAGCCTCACCACCAATCCCCACAAAAACATTGGAAGAGTGAAAATACGAATTTTAATATAACAAGTCATTAATACGTAAATGCTTACTCTTCCAGTAGTATTTAGGACAGTGGGGGTTTCATGAAACTCAAAGTTGTTAAAGTTAGGAATACAACAATGTTAATATGTTGCATATGCAACCTCTTTCGAAAAGTTAAAGAGGACTCTAAAGAGTACTTTTGTGGGAATTGTACAATGATATCAGGAAAACAACGGTAGGTAATAATCTATTTCTACTCTTCCATTATTTTCAACTTCAAATTCATTAATTCGATAAAAAATATCATACCCACTAAAACACAAATTCATTTACTAAATAGCGAATCTCATTTGTTGCTATTTTACAGATTTAGGATCGAACTCCTATGGTGGACAAAAACAGTAAATCCAACTTTGTAAATTTGGATCACATGAAAGTTAGATTTTTGGAACGTCTTGCTAGAAAACTATTACAAACCAATGACAAAATGAGAGGACCTCCATCTCCTTATCTATTATAAAATTGAGGCAATGGAATTGAAGTTTGACATCATGCTCAGCGATTACAACACCGCAAACCCTATAAATGAGTATACAATTTTAACATTAGGGTAAATTTTACTTTAGCTAAAATTATATATCATATTTGCAAATTTTTAATGATTAAAATTTTGCTTTCAATAAAATGCAAGAGAAGAAGAAAAGAGTATGCTAATGATGGAGGTAGTGAATTTGATGAGGGAAGAGTCTTGTCACCCGGATGGATTAAAAGATACAATTAAAGGAGAATTGGCCAAAATTAATGAGATAAATAAAGGGTAAAATATCTCGGCTGTCACTTAAGTTTGAGAATTGGGATGGACATACCACTTAAGTTTGAATAGGGCGTCGAGTACCATTAATGTCGCCAAAATGTGCATCCGTCTACTTTTCCATCCAACCCAAACCTTTAATTACTTTTTGACACCCCAAAATTTTTTTAATACATTCAAAACTATATGTCAACAAGTTTTATCTAATATAATAATTAGAAAACCTTCTAAACATATTATTACTAGAATGACTAATAAATTTTTTTCAATAAATTAGTAAAAATAATAAACGAATATCAAGAAGAATAATAAATATACTAGAATATTATAATAAATATTTAAAATCAATATTATAATATCTATTTAAACCCCCTAATTCAATTAGAAGTACCATTAGAAATAGTTAAAATAGAAGCTAATCGATCATCAATACATCAAAATAAAAAAAAATGATAAATGGAACACAATCAAAACGAGTTAAAGATATTCCACTAATTGAAAAAAATTAGAACGAAAAGGGATGGAAAGTAACCAAGTAATAAATAAAATATAAAAGCTACAACATTCGGTAAAAAACATAGAAAAGAAAATATGATTATAAAAGCTACAACATTGTTTAGTTACAACATTAATAGAATAATTCAATTATTAGAAAACATAATGATAATTGAAAATAATTATAATGTTAATTGATTCTAAATTTTCAAAAATTATTTTGGTATCAAGTATTCAAAAGATGGTTCTAACTAAACAATAAAAAATGATGTTTTTCATAAGTCCAAATGATTTTTTACAATAAGAAAAGTAGAAGGACCAATTATGAAATTTAGAAAATGGAATATTCCAAGAATATTCTGTCAACTTTAACAGAATGCACTTAGCTGTAAACTTAAGTGGTACCGGGTGCACATATAATAGTCAGTGGTACCCGACGCCCTATTCAAATTTAAGTGGTATGTCTACCCGAATTCTCAAACTTAAGTGACATCTGATGTATTTTACCCGATAAATAAACTACATGATAAGGAAAAACCGAGATAGATGGAGATTAGGATAATCAAGAGTAATTTGAAGAAACTTGATAGAAATTCACATAGACGTAATACAAAGGGTTTTGGGGAAATACTGTTGGATTGCTAATATGCGAGAAAATATAGGAAACATTCTTACCATCAATAATAATAATAATAACTAACTAATCCTTCATCAATCCATCTCCTACAAAGATTTTCCCCTGAAAAATTAACCTAAAATTGTATCAACTTCTTCCTATACTTCTAATTCAAAGCTCGATCACTTTTTCACTTCCAATTCCTTCCACCTATCACAATGACCTCACAACGACAAAATAAAGGCTCTACTAAACAATCTGAATCAAAAATTTCCAATTCACACTGCCGACAACCAAAAAGTAGTCGCATCATCCATCTTAATTGAAGATCATACTTGCTTATTCTTTGGCACTGAGATATCCTTCAAAGCCTCCAAGTAAATACGATTAATGCGACGACTAGAACGACATAGATGATGGTGTTGGATGCTAGGGTAACCAGACTCCGCCACTAATTGACGAGCGAGTGGATTTGAAATCGATGATTGATTAATAGAAAGATTAGAGGAGAATTAGGCAAAATAAGGGAAAGAAATAAATGATTATATATATGAGGAAGAATTGAGACTGCATTGGGACTAGAGTATTTAGGAACGGGGGCTATAAGAGAATCGATAGAAATTCACGGGCGTGTAGAGTAAAATTAGGGTTTAGAGAGAACAAAATTGAGAGGATTAGAGAGGACGAACCATGAGGTAATTGATTCGATAACTATTTTGTTTATTCCTTAATAATGTAGCTGAATGAATAAAGTAGAAATATACAAGAAAACACACACAAAAATTTAATATTATTCGAACACTCACTTGGAAGTCACCTAAAATGGTCAAACAACGAATCCACGCAATCAATCTCATGGCTACCCCTCAAAATAAATCCATATTTCAAGAATAACTAATAACATCGGTAACTAATTAAGTATTAACCATTACTAAAGTAAGATAATGGTCATGTTTTCAGTGATGAAAATGAAGGAATTATTATTAGTGGGTATGCAAATGTTGTTTACTTTAGTTGGTGAATTGGTTAGGACGTTGCATACTTGTATGATATTATATATATCCTTTTAAATTTTTTCCAATATTCCATAATTTAGACTCTTTTATTTCAGTGATGAAAATGAAGGAATTGTTATTAGTGGGTATGCCAATGTTGTTTAGTTCAGCCTGTGACTAATGATCTAAAATTTTGCAATGGTGTTTTAGTGATATCCCTTCTCCATTGCTCCTGCCCTATAAAAACCTGCCCCAAAGTAAAGACCACCTACCCTCCAATCAAATAAGCTTCTTAAGCAGCCATGGCAATAGAAGGAAGAAGTCCTCCATCTCGGCGGTTTCTGGCCGCGACGCTAATTGCATATTGTGCCTTCTTCCTTATGATCGCTTGCTGTCGTGCCACTCCTGCTCAAGATCGAAAGGTATTTCTAATATTTTACATATTTATGGCTTGATTTATATAATTATTTATTAAGAATACACGAACTGATCCAGAAAAATCGTCATGTCTTTATCTATATACATGTTCACTATCCAAGTCATACATATTCATGGCTTATTTTATGCATATGCATCATGACATTGTATATTACATTCACTATGGCTAATGAGCTCTCTACGTTGCCAGGTGTATATAGCATACATGGGCAACTGTCCAAAGACCCAAGCTTCTCTTCCCGCGCTGCACTTCGGCTTGCTTCAGCGCATCATTGGCAATGCTAAGGTCGCCTCAGATTCCTTGATCTACAGCTACCATCGGACCTTCAACGGCTTCGCTGCCAGACTAACGGAGGCCGAGCATCAGAAACTTTCCGGTGGGTGTTTTTTCCCCTTCCTCCTTTCCGTCGTCGTCGGAGATTCAATGGCTTACTCTGTTTTCCTTCATTACGGCAGCCTATGAAGGTGTAGTTTCTGTATTCCCCAACAAGATCGCGAAGCTCCACACGACGAGATCATGGGATTTCATCCGCTACCCCAAGAATGCTTCGACATCAACCCGCCGCCAACAGAGCAACCTGATCATTGGAGTGCTCGACACCGGAATCTGGCCGGAATCGCCTAGCTTCGACGATTCCGGCTACGGCCCGCCTCCAAAGAAATTCAAGGGCAGATGCCAATCGTCCTCGAATTTCAGCTGCAACAAGTAAGATAACCCTAAACCCTATAAATGCTCCCCAATTTCATAACCGAATGGTCTGAAATTCGATTAGCTTAAATTGGAATGGCCCTATTCTTTTTACAGTAAGATCATTGGGGCCAGGTTCTACAACGTCGCAGGAGATTACGGTCCAGGGGACATTCCTTCGCCCCGGGATTCCGACGGCCATGGAAGTCACACTGCATCCACTGCAGCAGGGAACTTTGTCACGCCGGCTAATCTCTATGGCATCGCCAATGGGACTGCCCGCGGCGGGGTCCCCGCGGCTCGAATCGCAGTCTACAAGATCTGCTGGGCTTTTGGATGCTCATATGATGATATTATGAAAGCCTTTGATGATGCTTGTTCTGATGGAATCGACATGGTCTCGCTCTCGGCTGGTGGTTTGGCGATGGAGTATTTCCGTGACCCCATTGCTATTGGGGCTTTCCACTGCATGAAGAAGGGAATTTTAACCTCCAACTCGGCTGGCAACGACGGCCCTTTTCCTGGATCAGTCTCCAACAACTCTCCTTGGTCGCTTACTGTTGCTGCAAACACCATTGACAGAAAGCTGACGACCAATGTCAAGTTGGGTAATGGCGAAATTTATAATGTGAGTCATGGGAAGTTCCAAGTTTTGTGTTGTAAACTTCATTGTGATGCATTAGGGGGATTAGCGATTTAACCACGGCAGAACTTGCTTCTTTTCTTGTTAACTCGATCTTGCAGGGGACCTCTCTGAATAGTTTTGTGTCAAATAAATCGATGTCCCCTATCATATACGGTGGAGACGCACCAAACAAGACAGCCGGATACGAGGGAAATGTGTCGAGGTGAGTACAAGAATTCCGAACCATATTTACAATATGGCAACAATACAATTTTCTCATTTTTTTACGAAAACATTGCAGGTATTGCTACTCGGGTTCCTTGGATAGAAACCTGGTGCAAGGGAAAATTGTTTATTGTGAGTTTGCCGGCCAGGGAGATGGACCTATAGAAGCTGGTGCTGCTGGCGCCATAATGGGAAACAATCCACAGGGAGATGTTGCGTTTCCTTACCTTCTTCCTGTGTCTCTCTTGAACGAAACGGATGGAAGCAAGGTTTTGACTTACTCGAACTCAACCAGGTACAGCAGAAATGGATTGCTGCACCATATTGTTGAATGTATGAATGGACATCATGTTGAGTTCTTGTGATTTCTTTTGCTAGTGACCCAACTGCAGTGATTTACAAGACAGTTGACTACCTGGATGGCTCATCTCCTTACGTGCTTTACTTTTCCTCGAGGGGTCCCAATCCGATAACCCCTGACATTCTCAAAGTAAAAAAGGAAGTAGCTCTCAGTTTTGGTTCTTGTTGTTTGGTTTCCTTAACTTAATCTGATAAGATTATATATATGCAGCCGGACTTGACAGGACCTGGAGTAAACATACTGGCAGCGTGGTCTCAAGGTACGACTATGACAGGTCTACCTGGTGATGAAAGGGTTGTCGCATACAACATCATCTCCGGTACTTCTATGTCTTGCCCCCATGCAACTGGAGCAGCAGCTTATGTTAAATCTCTCCACCGCACTTGGTCCCCTGCTGCCATTAAGTCAGCTCTTATGACAACAGGTGCTCATGTTACTATGGAAATCTATCAGCATTAATCTCTAAAGATAGCAAGAAACAGTTTGAAGACAATTTGTACTAATCTATATTTCCTAACATGCAGCACGGCCCCTGAGTGCCAAGTACAATCCCGAGGCTGAGCTAGCATATGGGACGGGACAAATCGATCCAATCAAGGCATCAGATCCTGGGCTTGTATTTGATGCTAGGGAGAAGGATTGTTGTTATAAACGCGCTGCTACGGATCGGGAAATCGCCGGAATCGACAAAGCAAGAATACGAAAGCGAGAATCGAAAACACGACACACGATTTACGTGGTTCACTAACACGATGTGTGTTAGCTACGTCACGGGCGAGAGAGAGCCGATTTCACTATATCAAGGAGATTACAGATTACAGAGGAGTATGAGAAGTATTTATAGTACTTCTCCATGATTACCAGTCGTAGCGGCTGATAGTCCGATTCAAGTCATATCAACAATTATGTCAAATTTCTCTGCGGCCTGGGCTATTCGACCAAACGACTCCGGCTTGTCACGGGAGATCCGAGTGCTTGTACTGCAGCTACAAATGGAACCCTATGGGATCTAAACTATCCTAGTTTTGCCATATCAGCAAACAGATCAGGAGTCTCTGTGAGTAGGGTATTTCGCAGAACCGTCACCAATGTTGGATCAGCGAATGCGACCTATAAAGCCACGGTAATTGCACCAGCAAACCTCAGGGTCAGAGTTAGCCCAAGTGTGCTTAGTTTCAAGACTAATGGGAAGAAAAAGTCATTTGCTTTGACAGTCTCTACCGTGGTTGGGAAGAACACCATCTCTGGTGTTCTTGTCTGGAGTGATGGGAAGCATGTAGTAAGGAGCCCTATTGCTGCATTTGTGTCATCCAGTGAATGATCAATAAGCTGGGGTGTTTGTTTCTCTTAAATATATTTGCAGTTATAGCAGAATCGAAGTTGGTAATGTACTTTGATTCTCTACATTGAAATATACTAATCATCTTTTTAACTCGTTTGCTGCCAGATATAATATCATGTGTACTGTAGATACCTTCCACCCAGTCGATAACAAGGCTACAGCATTTGATAAATCAACAAGGATGGTGATGTTGGGGAATGAATCCAATAATCCTTCCATAATCAACAAAGTCACCTCAGTTTTAACAAGTCTAAGTCATCGCCATAGCTAAGAAACTTTGCAAACATGATTTCAAATTTTAAGCTAGCCGGCCGGCTGCCAAGTACAAGGCAAAGGTGATGTCCTCTAAAGAGCTTAAGATCAAGATGAACCCAAAAGTACTGATGTTTAAGGATGTGGGTGAGACGGTGCCGTATCGTGTCACCGTGAAGCAGTGGCAGAGCCATTCACAGGGGAGGTTACGAGGCAGGCATTAGGTAACCTAATTCGCCTATCCACCCTCCACGATCCCGCTCTAGATCGCTAAAATGCGATTTCTGGGGAGTTCGTGAAAAATTCGCGAACTGCTTTTTGAGAGAGCGCGTTTTCAGAATTTGGGAGGGCGATATCCCGTGGAACACAGATTGAGCAACCTGGTTAATCTGCTAACTGGTCATTTTGTTAGTATATACTAACTGATATCCAATAGTGTATGAACTAATATCCAAGTCTTTGTGAACTAAATAATTCGGGTAGTTGATCGGTTTGAGCTCTGATACCATGTTTTATTTCTAGACCTACTGATTTAATAATTTTACTACTAGACTTACTGATTTAATAATCTTTGTTTAAGCTAGTTATTATATCAGTAATTAATTCGGTTTTAGAGATAGTTTCTTCTAATGTTTCTGTGGTTCCAATACTCATTTGTTCTTCTACAATTTCTGAGGCAAAGTAAGTCAATTCTTGTATGACTGTACTGATATAATTTATTGAGGTGAGATTTATAGCATCTAATCCTTCAATTAATTTATTTATATGATAGTTAGTAGGCATATTTAGATTTTATTCTCTAAATTTGCTATTGAATGTTGCAATTTTTCTAGCTTATTTATTACTTGATTATTGGTTATCTCTTCAATTAATTTATTCACTTGATTATTGGTTATCTCTTCTTGTTCTAAATTTTATTCTATTACTGGGATATGCCTAATTTTCTCTGATTGTGTTTTAATTAATCTTCTTTGATCTTGGGTTATCGATGGTCGACTAGGTTCTATTCTAACAGTCTTTAATGGTGCTTCTAGTTGAATTAAAGGTTTAAATAAATCTTCTATAGTAATTACTTCCTTATTTTTGAAGGTTAAGCTGTGGTGACTATTTGTTAAAGCATAGTTTATTTGATAAGTTACTGAAAATGGTTTGCTATTTTCTTTCATAAAATTTTCTCTTTTTAATTCGACCTTTATAATGATGGAAGAGTCGAGATTACCATCTGCCAGGCTTAATCCTTGTTGCAGGTTAATATCAAATTTAATTATTCCTACTCCTAAATTTCCCGTTCCTTTAGCAATAATACTTTCTTCTTCGTTTAGGAGCCTATCATCACGAATTTCAAATTCCATAGGTGCGTCAATTCCTATTTTCATGGTTGATTTTAATATAATTTGAATTGTACTAATATGAATATAAGCTATTTTATTTCGTTCTTCTGATCTTAGTTTAGCTAATCTTTTTTTGATTTGTTCTTTGTTTATTACTTGGATTAGGAAATCACCCTTAGTTTGATCAATAGTGACTGCTACTTCACCTATCATTTTACCATATTTAATAATGTTTTCTCTATCGAAAAGTTTTGATAAAAAAGACTTAGTGATAAAGTTCTGAGTTTCTGAAATAGTAAAATTAGTTTTTTCTCTAATTTTCTTAATGTCTATAACACCATCTAAGAAGTAGTTTTCATTATCATTTTTGTTTAAATAGTAAAAATAACTTGAGGTAGGATTATCAGACATACCTGACTTGCTTTTCTGATGAAATTCTGAGCCTTTTGATGATCGCTTGATGATTGTAGCTTCTTTCCGTGCGTTTGATTATATTGAAGATGATTGTGGCCTCCAGGATCAGTGGATCCAAGCCTTACAACTAGCTAGCTAGAGGGAGAGAGTAAACAGGCAATTTTATGGCCAAACTCGTTCTGCCTTATTTCATTGAAAACTCTTGCTCTTATATAGAGCTGAGAGGAAATACAAAGACGTCATTGCTTACGTCTGTTAGACAGGGACGTAAAGCTAACACGTCAAAAGTGCGCGAAACGATAAGAAAAGCTGATAAAATACAATAATGCACGACTTTTTTAAAGGAGTCGGCCAACCTTCTTTTGTCGCTTTATTCCATATTTGTTTGATTCCTTTTTCTTCACATGCTTCTGTCAGTCTTGGTCTGCTGGTCCACCTGGTCCACTGATGTCTTCGTCAGTTGATGCACACCACTCACAGAGATGGTCTTCATAGATGGTAAGCTCATTGCATAACTGTTTCTTGATTTGAATGGGAAGGGCTGACAGATTCCCATTAATTTCCGTGAATTCCTTAATTTTATCTGTAATGATTGCCCATTCTTCTTTGGTCATGTTTCCTCTTGTTTTGCTGGTGATGATGGCATCGGGGCTGCTGTAATTGACTTTAATCTGGCTTTCCGGTTCAATTTTGGTTAATGCTCTGCATACTGCAAGAAGACCCTTTACTTGGTAGTCAGGGTTCTTCTCATAGTCTCGTAGGTCATCTCTGGTAGGGTAATCATGGTTTGATACTCCCATGAGGATAACTGCCTTTGATCCGATCAATAGTTTGTCTTGATCGAATACGGGGTAGCTGCTTGTATACTTGAGAAATATTTCTCGTTCCTTGGCAAATAGCTCGAGATATCTTCTGATTACGTTACTCATTCTTTGTGGGAAGTATTCAAATACCTTCATGGTTGTAGTGTAGATTGTGTCGATTAATCCATATTGATGGAACTCAAAAGAGAGTTCTGGTGATGCTTCTTCTGTGATTACTGCTTTGGGTCCTCCTCGACTGACGGGGTAGAAACCCATGGTCGTGTGTTTTTCTTCATAGTTGATTATCATATCCCAGTTGGATATGAACTTCTGAAAGATTGGTTTTAATTGCTCTTCTTTTTCCTTGGTGGTTAGGATGCTCTTGATACTGGGAATCTTCATGACGAGTTTCTGCGATTGTTGCTCTTGATTCTTGGCTGGTTCTTTCATTGCCATCACCTTGTATGATTGTCTATATGCTTCGTCGGCTATTTCTTTTGTTTTAAACGATTGATGTTGGATTGGTTTGCCGTTGATGTGCTGGCTAGCAATGACCCAGTTATGATATACTCCTCGGTATGGTCCATTAAATATGACATACCATTTGCTTCCTTTTCTGTCGTCTTCTTCGTAGTGGGAATCTTTTGTTTCTTTTTCTTCCTGTTCAACGATGTCTGCCCATCGTGTCGTCTTTTGTATATTATTGCTGGTAGTGGTGGATGATTGTGTTGCTGTCGACTTTTCTTTTTCAGCAGGTTCTGTGGTGAGTGTTGATGGCTTTCCACTAGTGGAGCTAGTTGTTAATGTACTGACGTTGATGTAGTTGATTTTTAACTGTTGCTGAATGACGTCGATTGATTGAATTATTGCTTCTTCCTCCCCCCTGCAAAGGAGAAGTTGTTGTTCCAGTGCTGCACTCTTTTCCTGCTTCTGCCTTAGTTGATTGATGAGGTTTTTTATGAATCCTTCCATTCTCGAGTCAGTGTGTCTGTGAATGGATTGTTGCTGGACTTGATATACTTCAAATAAGGATTGTAATAATGGAGTTGTTGCTGCCACCTGATTAATCTCCCTTTGTTGAAATCTGCCTGAAGCTTGTACCTCCAAAAACCTGTTACATATTTACAGTCGGTTTGAAGTTCAAACCTTGTAGATAATAATTCAAGCTTCCATTTTTTCAATGTTCTGAGACAGGCTAGTGTCTCTAATTCGTGGATCGGATAGTTCTATTCAGTGGCGGTAAACGTTCCAGAAATATATTTACATAATTTCTTAGAATATTTATCACTATTGAAAGGAACTGATGATTGACAACTTGAAAGTTCAATAATATTGTCCGAAGACTGATAATCTTTAGGCTCTTGGCCAGAGACAGTAGCCTCGTTATTGTCTATTTTGACATTACCAAAATTGTCCATTTGTAATAATTCCTTACCATTTTGTATTGCTAACATACACCCTGCCCAAGTGTCCTTAGAGGCATCCGTTTGAATTATTAGAAAATTGTTGTCACAAGGGTTATATAATTTTGGTAAATGCTGACATTTTTCCTTCATTAATAAAACTATTTTTGTATCTTGATCATTCCATGACCAAGGGATTTTGTCAGAAATCTTTTTCTGTAAATGTTTTCTCTCTTTTGCTAAATCTTTTAAAAATCCTTGTTCGCTTATATAATTTAAGCATCCAAGAAAACGTTGAATTTGTTTTCTATTTTCAAGTTGGTTTGGGAATTTATCGATTTTTTCTTTAGTGTTTTGTGACAACTCAATTTCACCCAAATTATTAATCTTCATACCAAGATATTCCATTTCTCTTTGAAGAAGTTTTGATTTCTTCTTAGAGATAATTAGACCTTTTTCTTTTATTCTCTGTAAAACTATCAAGATTTTTTCACGATGGTCTTCTTCTGATTGATTTGTGAAAATAATAATATCATCAATGTATGCTAAACAGAACGATTGAAAACCTTCTAATACATTATCCATAAACCGTTGGTAAATAGCTGGTGCTTGTTTCATTCCAAATGGGAGAACATTCCATTCGTAATGTTTTTGTGGTGGACATGAAAAGGCTGTTAAAGGTTTGGTATTCTCATGTAGACGAAGTTGCCAATATCCAGATTTAGCATCTAAACTACTAAACCACGTTTGACCTTTTAATCTTTCTAATATATAGTCTTTCCTAGGTAGTTTATAGCTATCTCCTATTGTTTGTTCGTTTAGTTTTTTATAGTTTATTACCATTCTTCTTTTTCCTCTTTTGATTTCATTATTATTTTCTACATAAAAGGCTGGTGCACTGTGAGGACTTTTACTTTCTCGTATTAT